GAAAAAAAACAAACAACAAAATGCTTGATTTGCTATTATTACAATAATGATAAACCAAAACAAGCTTTTTCAATTCATTCTTAATTCTACAGGAAAAAAATGAAATCTGTCTTAACATTTTTCTCATTGATTTTCATTCATTCATTGATATTATCACACCTGCCTTTTTTTGGAAGATTTCTGCTGAATGACTTGAATGAACCGGCCGGCTGTTTTGTTTGAAATTATTTTTTCATTGAGAAAACAACACCGAATAAAGTAGGAAAATGTATAATTTGTTTGATGTAGATAGCAGATTTTCATTCGAAACGGATATTTATTTTGATATCGTTACATACGATAAAATAACATTGAAACAAATCGAATGTATCAATCATTCGATATTCAATCAGAAAAATACTAATTAAACAAAAATTGATTGATTTGAATTTTGCTTTTGTTTTTGATTCAAATTTCGAAAACAAAACAAAATGATAAGGGAAAAAACATTATTAAATTTTTTGATTAAAAAACAATAAAAATATGTTAATTGTAAAATGGCAAGGATTTTAATCGGATCAAAAATTTTTTTTTCACTGTTTAATTGTTTCCAACCTTAAAATGGACAACTGTATAGAATTGCTGATGATAATGATAATAATGAAAACAGATTGGCCAGATTCATTGCCATACATGTGTGTGTGGATAGTGTCAAGGATAATCGTAAAAAAAAACATTATCATAATCAACGATTGTTTGTTTGTTTGGATCTACATATCAACAAATATCTGTATTCAGAATGATAAACTGGACATTATTTTCGTGTTGTATGCATCGTTGAATGAAAGATGACTTTTGTTTTGTTTTCTTTTCTTTGCATATGATGTTATGCATGCATGCATGCATAACAACATCCGATGTCATGTGTATAATACGTTTCGATTCGTTGAATTTTTGAATGATGGTGGTGACACATCTGTCCACTCTGTGATAATTCGGGATAATGAAAACAAAAAAAAATTTTGATTTTCAACAATTTCACCTGTCTTAATAGAAGTTGATTAGGTGAACTTAAAAAAAAATGCTTGCTTTTAGTTTTTGATAAAACTTTGTAATACCCATAGGCAATCAAACATTTCGTATAATGAACTTTTGTAAACGAACCAAAACAAAAAAAACGACAGATATCCGGTGATGATGATGATTCAGGTTTACACGTTCGGTTTGAAATAAAATTCATTAATTATACATCATTGCCTACCCACATATCTGAACAATTTATTTCTTCGTTCTCATCGGAATTTTGTTTCAAAAATAAAAATTACCATTTTTTTCTGAAGAGAAACGATGTGTGTGTGTACAATACTGTCACATTGATTTTTTTTTGGCAGGTCACAATATCCGATGATTCATTTCTACGGAAATTAAATGGTTTAATGAATTCTGTATGTGATGATCATAAAATCTTGAAAAAAGAGAAAAAATCGTTTTTTTTTTAATTTTCATTAAAATAGTTTTATCATTCTTTCTGGTTCACTTCACTTTCTTTTTTTTCTGCAAATGTTAATCATCTTCATCTTTTTGTCATAAAAAAAATTCATCTTCAATGATGAGAATAATGATTTTGAGTGAATTGAATTGTTTGTTTGTTTCTGTTGTTTGTGATGGCCATGATTATATATGGTTTTTGGCCAAGATTTACGTGAATATTTTTAATTAGATTTTTTTCTCCTCATCATCATCATTTATGAAAAAAAGAACAGATTTTTAATAGATTAATTTATTCGTATAAACTTTGTATGCAATATTCGTAAACAACATGGGAACATTATTAAACGAAGCAAAACTGAATAATTTTTCAAATGTTTTTCATCATTCAAACTTTCTCTTATTTAAGATTATTATAGAATTTTTTCAATTTAAAATTCATTTTCAAATCCAAAGATGATGATGATGACCAGATTTTGATGAAAAACAAAACATTTTAAATTGAATTCTGTGAATTGAAGAAACAAAAATGGATAAAATAAATTCAAATCACATTTTTTTTCTCACATTGTTCGATTGACATTTAGAAAGAAAAGAAAAAAACAGAAAAACAAATCATGAATCTGGAACAATTTAATCAATGTTGACAATGTCACACACACACACACAAATTACTCTTTTGCATTTCAATTTTTCAAACAAACAAACAAACAAACGAAAGAAATTAAATTAAAATTTTTCTCCCACTCTAAATGGAATTGATTGGTTGATTGATTTTCAAAGAATCTTTTTTTCTTTCTTGAATTTGTTGTTGTTGAATCATAAATTGTTGTTAATAGCCAATGGAAATTTTGTTTTTGTTTTGTTTTTTGGTTCATTTCAATAAAATATCATGATGGTGATGATACAATCTGAAGATTTTTTTTTTAAATTCAATTTATCGATATTATTATCGATTTGAATAAAAAATAATCGATTGTACACGATATTCACATCTTGATCTTTTTTCTTTTTTCTTTTTTTGATTCAAAAATATCAATGAAGCATAAAATTTTTTCTCAAATTAAAGAAAAATCTGTTCAAATGTTGAGGATAGCTATATGTGAATATCTATGGATCAACTGCTGCCAACAACAACATTCAATAACCGACGACTCGATACACACGATCAAGATCTATTTTTTTTTTCACTGAAACCTTTATTTCATTCGGATATCATACGAAAAAAAAACAATTTTACCTAGCAAAAAAAAGGGAATTTTTCCTATGTGTATCTTCTTCGTTGAAGAACAACAACAAAACAAAACAAAACTTTACAGAAATCTATTTTTATTTTAAAACTTTTACCGTTTTTTTCATTCATTTGAAAAACACAATACATAGAAAGATAACAAATAATTTGAATTTTATCATTCAAACTAGATAGAATCGATTTCATTTTTTTTCTCTATCGATATTGCACTACAATTATTGTATAGTAGTTTTGGTCTGACGATTTTTTTTTATTGACTACAATCTGTCAATTGATTGATTGATTGATCGATTGGTTTAGTTTTTTGTTCGCTTTTTTTCTGTTTTGCATAACAATTTGATGTTTTTCTTTTGAATTTTTGCACTGATTTTGTTTGCCAACAAAATTTAAATTTTAAATTACTCAATTTTCCTATTTTTTTTTCTGTAGTTTTGTTTGAAAAATTGAGACAAAAGATTTCCAATCTTGTTAATGTTCAATAACAACCATTGATTTATAGGGCGTATGACAATTTGTGCTTTTTGAATAAAATGCTAATTAACATTTTTAAAAAAATTTCTTTAAAAAAAATCTTGAAATTTTTGTTTTTAAAAACAAAAATGGATAATACACATCCTTTGCCGATTCACACCCAGATAATCATCATTAGTTTACTTTTTCTTTATTTTCTTAAAAAAAATTAAAATAATTTTGTAATACAAATTACTTGAATCCTAAGCATCATTATTTTACTGGATTTAAAATTGGTTTTTGTATCGAATAAAATCAACAGTAAAAAAACTTTGGAATTTTCATTTTTTCCTTGAAACTCGATGATGATGATCAGAATCATCATGATGTTTTTGCATTATGTAATTTCCGGTTGCGTGATTGGTGTGTCCATACAATTTACAAAAAACACAATCGAAAAATTCATTATAAACAAAAACAATTTACAACACACACAAGTAATGTATGATGCAACAGGTAACATTCGATAAACAATTATATCATCGATATAATTATCATGAATCATCCTTTATGGCCATGGAATCCTTCTTTTTTTTTGATGCAGAAAAGTGAATTTTTCATTTTCACTTTTTTTTCTGTTACATTTATGATTATAGTCGGATAACACAATCAACAGACTTGAATAGGAACAAAAACTAAATCAAATTCAACAGAAAAAATGATAATAAGAAATATGATGCCGTGCTTTTTAATTCATTTCATTTTCATTCAATTGTCGTTTATGAATTGTTGGAAAAAAGTAATGTTTATGTGTTTGGATACGCAGACATGTTCAATGACTAAGAAAATTACTGAAGAAATATTAACCTCACGTATTATAAATCAAATAAACTAATTTTTGTATTTGTTTGTTTCATTTGTTTTTTTTTCATTCAGGATCTTCTTCACCGCCAACATCATTATTATTATTATTATTTTGTTTGAATTGAATCTTCATTCTATTCAGCTAACTTGAACGTTTTTTTTTTGCAAATGGAACAAAACAAAATGTACACATAAAACACACGTATAAATATCATTTTCATCATTCATCAGCTAACAAAATGTGAAAAAAAAATGAATTCAAATCATGAAAAAGCAAACAATTGAAATATTTGGCCCAAACGTTGTGTATTCAAGAATAGGGGAGAAAATCCATTTGACGAAAATGAAAAAAAAAATTAAATTAATCCAGATCGAAAAATAGAATGGAAAACATTTGTAAAAATTATTTCAATTGTGTCAATAATATTTTTTTTTCCGTCAAACAAACAAATAAATAAAGAAAGTGATAATGATGTGAGGAAAGGATATTTTTTTATAAAAAAATTTTATTATTAAAAATTGTTTCTTTTCGGTGTCTGTGTGAAATTTGATGGAAAAAACTTTCGTAGAAATTCATCATTTTTATCTACCACAGTTTCAATTGTGTTTATCTAGATTTTATTTTATTTTTTCAAAAAAAAATCCTGGTCACATCGATTCATCATCATCATCATTTTTGTTTGGACCGGTAAAATAAATAAATAATGTCAACAGCAATAAAAATGTTTTCATCACCTGTATCACGACGTTTTGAACGAGAAAAAGATAATCGTGAACTCGAACTTCGTCGACGAAAACGTCGATCAACAACAACAACAACAATAACAAAAATCGATTATCGTTCATATTTTCCATCATTAATCAAATCTAATCATTGTAATTGTTATCATCTTTGTCATAATCATAATCGTAATCATCATCATCAAAATCAAAAAATTGTAAATAAATCCATATTGTTAACTATTATTATTATCGAAATATTGATGCAATTGACATCAATTTCAATCAATGGTGTATGGGCAAATACACGTACAAATCTTCCGCCTAGATTTAAATCCGATAACAATGATTTTGATACACAATCAGAAATTGTTGTACGTGTTAAAGAAGGTGCTTCCTCATTGAATAAAGAAATTTATCATCTTTATGGTGAAGATCCTGATAATGATCCATTGACATTTGGTGTTCTTGGAACACTTGGTAAAGATCTCTTACGTATTGAATCAATATCGAAAAATGAAGCCAAAGTTTATCTTAAAAAAGAGCTTGATCGTGAAATACAAGATTCCTATACACTTGTATTGACAATGACTGATGGTAAACTAGGCAAAGGAAATTATGTAAGTATCATTTTCATTATCATTTTCTTCATTAAAATTTTAATGAATATATTTTTCTTTAAAATTAGATAACAAAATCATTGCTATTAATTGTTGAAGATATCAATGATAATGCTCCAATATTTCGGCCATTTAGAACGGCTGTTCTAGTCAAAGAAAATGCAAAGCCTGGAACTTTGATCGAAACATTTGAAGCATTCGATTCTGATGAAGGCCGATTCGGTCAAGTTTTTTATCAACTTGGTGATGAAATTCATGATACTAATTCTTTAGGATCAAATATGTTTTCCATTCAAACAGTCGATGGTATGCATACAATCATGTAATGAAATGTTTAACACTTTCTTCATTTTTCAATAGGAAAAGGTATTTTACGTTTGTCCGGTCAATTGGATTATGAACGTAAATCAATATATCAGCTTAGAATATTAGCTATTGATCGTGCTATGGAAGATTCTAGAAAAACATCAACTGCTGCTATCGTTATTCAAGTGGAAGATGTTGATGATCAACCACCAATATTCACATCGATTCCATCGGTCACAAGGCTATCTGAAGATACACCAATAGGTGGCCATGTTTTACAGGTGACCGCTATCGATGGTGATAAAGGTGTAAATAATCCTATTACATATAGAATTATCAAAGGTGGTAATGGTCTATTTTCGATTAATTCAAACACCGGTGTGGTGAGCGTTGCTGGAAAATTAGACCGTGAAGCGTCGGTTACTGATTCCAGTGCGGAAGAAATTAATTCATCAGCAAATCTGTTATCAGCTTCGTATATTTTAGAAATCGAAGCCACTGAAGTTACACATGCTGTCTTTCCACCACCATCAGTAACAACTGAAGTCACAATTATTTTGACCGATGTTAATGATGAAATACCACGGTTCCGGTTTAAATCATATGCTGCTGAAATTATTGAGAATTCTCCACCTGACATGCCCGTAACGTTTACTCGACGTAATGCTAAAAACAATCGAATGGATACGAATGATTCAAATATGAATCTGTTGCTAGCTCCACAAGTCTATGATTTGGATCAAGGTAACAATGGAACTTTCACTTTACATTTAGAATTGGATGATAATCAATCGTTGGACAAAGAATTACGAGCACAACTAGTCGATACGTTCTACGTAACTCCAATGCAAAGTACAAACGATGCTACATTGAGTGTTCGGGTTAAAAATTCAGCCGCATTAGATTATGAAAAACTTAAACAAATCAAATTACGAATGATTGCCAAAGAAAAGGCCCCATCGGTTGGTCATAGTTTACGATTCAATAGCGCCGAATTAATAATTACAATCAAAGATGCCAATGATAATGCGCCACAATTCAGTCATGAAATCTATTATGGTTCAGTTTCAGAAGTTCCTATGCCTGGAACAACTGTGGCTCAAGTTTCAGCTACCGATATTGATGATGGATTATTCGGTACTGATGGCATTCGATATACATCTTTAAGAGGTGATATTGCAGCTGCACTTTCATTAAATTCAATCACAGGCTTAATAACAGTAAAAAATGACACTGATAAAAATTCCAGAAATTCAGTCTATTTTGATCGTGAACAACATGCACAACATTTCCTTATTGTAGAAGCAAGAGATGCAGCCGGTTTCGGTAATAAAAACACTGTTCAACTAGTCATCAACATTACCGATGTGAATGATCAGGTGCCAAGATTTTTACAGAGTTCATACACAGGACGAATATATGAGAATCAAAAACGATTTGAACAAGATTTGATTTTAAGTGCCGTCGATGATGATGCACCAAATACGGCCAATTCCCGTATACTTTATACTATTGTTAATAATTCCTCTCCATTTGCATCATATTTTAATATTGATCCAAACTCTGGAAAGATAACCGTTGCTAAACCATTAGATTTTGAAATGATACCAGGTCAGATAGCTGATTCGCGAAATATATCATTTAAAGTTCGTGTTCATGATCATGGGATTCCACCGTTGAGCAATCAAGTTCCTGTTAATATTCTAGTATTTGATCAAAATGATAATGCGCCAGTATTTTCAAAATCTCTATACACGAAATCAATACCGGAAGATGTACGTGATGGTTCGATGGTCGTACAAGTCAGTGCCACTGATGCTGATCATTCACCAGCTAATTCTCGTGTTTATTATCGTCTACTATCTGGTGGTGCTGATAAATTCGTCATCGATAGCAACACGGGAATAATTTCAGTTGCAAAAGGAGCATCATTAGATCCCGATAAATCATTATCTATCGGCAGTTCCAAAATGTCCAAAAAATTGTGGTATCTCCTTAAAGTGATGGCTATAGATTCTAGTTTCGGTACCGACGAACAATTATCCAGTATTGCTACTGTCAATGTATCCATCATCGATGTAAACAATAAAGCTCCCGAATTTCCAAACAATTTACCTGAAGTTTATGTTGCTGAAGATGCTAAAATTAATCAATTTGTTACTCAAATTAGTGCATTCGATTTAGATGATAAACCTGTGTTACGGTATTCATTGGATTATTCACGCTCGGAAGCTCGTAATGATTTTGGTGTGGCCGTTGATCGTGCATTATTTGCCGAATCATTTTCTATCGGTCCGATAGATGGTGTAGTGAGAGTTGCTAAATCACTTGATAGAGAATTGTGGTCAATATTGAAGCTACAGGTTGTGGTTGAAGATATTGCCGCGATTACGAAAGGCCAGAAAGCTCGTACAACATTCACCATTCACATTACTGATATTAATGATAATCCACCACGTTTTGTTCAACGATTATATCGTGCAATTGTTCCGGAAAATTCTATACCAGGAACATCGGTAATAACAGTAACAGCTGAAGATCGTGATTTGAACAAATCGCTAACGTACTCATTAGAAAGTGAAGAATTTGATGTATTAAGATTATTGAGAATCAATTCTACAACAGGTGAGATTTCCGTTCTAGGACGTATCGATCGTGAGATATATAATTGGCTAAATCTTACTGTTCGTGCTATCGATCATGGTGATCCTCCACTTTCGGGCACAGCCGAAATCGCTATACAAGTTCTTGATGAAAATGACAACAATCCAGTCTTTGATGATGAAAATTTACATAAAGTTACCATACCGGAAGATGCGCCAATTGGATCATTAGTTGTACAAATAAAAGCATCTGATGCTGATATTGGTGCGTTTGGAAAGTTAACTTATTTACTTGATTCTAGTTCTTCGTTGGGCAAATTCAAAATTGATCGTGAAACGGTATGTTTTTTCATTCATTTGGCTTTCTATATTTATTTTGTTTTGATTTTTTAGGGTTCGATTATTGTTGCCGATAATCTTGATCGTGAACAAATTCCATTTTATAAGCTTTTGGTTCAAGCATGGGATAATTATGATTATGGTTTCAGTACTGGTGAAAGTCGTAAAGCATTCAAAACATTGACAATCGTTCTGAGTGATGTGAATGATAAAACGCCTACAATTGTATTTCCATCACCTGAATCTGAATGCACTTTTATTAGTGAATTTCATAGTCCAAACGATCCAGTTCTCACCATTCAAGCTCATGATGCTGATGATCGTATGTCGATTTTAAAATGAATTTATCTGAAAGCTAACATTTTGTTTTTTTTTTAATATAGCATCTTTGCCGAATGGTCAAATTTCATTTACCATAGTGAATGGTAATGATGATCAATTGTTTGAATTTGCACCAAGTGAAAATGCCAACAGTGTTGTAGTGAAAACTCGAAGTTCATTGCGTGGTCGTGTTGGAAATTTCACACTTTTCATTCAGGTGAGTGATGGTGGTTTACCGTCACGTTCATCAACATCACCTGTCAAAATTTGTGTAACCGATGTCAACGATCACAATCCAATCTTCGTAAAACCTCCATCTAATATGACGATTCGAATACCAGAAAATGCAACCATCGGAACTCGTGTTGTCGATGTTCTTGCATTAGATTCAGATCATGGATTGAATGCTGAAGTTAGATATCGCTTACGAGAATTAGCCAATGGTCAATGGCGTTCGTTTCAAATCGATCCAATTACTGGTGTAATAACTTTGTCTAAAGAATTGGATCGTGAAACAACTAGAGTTCATGAACTTCGTGTGCAAGCTTATGATCTCGGAACGCCAACTTCATTGTCTACAGATTTAGATATTACTGTACTTGTGACTAATGTTGATGATTTCGAACCAGAATTTACACAAGATGTATTTCAAGTTGTATTCACTGAAAATCTTGCGCCTGGAAGCGAACGTTATAAACTTTTACCCACTATTGATAAAGATGATTATGATTTTAGCGATCCGAACACTGCTTTCAAATCAATACCATGTTATTTCATTGTTGGTGGTGATGCATTAAGCAAAGATAATGAAGAATTATTCAAATTGGATACTTTCACACATGAGTTGTCAGCAACTAAACCGTTGGATCGTGAACAAAAATCTAATTATACTTTAATTGTACAAGCAACCAATGATTGTTTTCGTGTGCCACATCGTGTTGAACGATTCGATCCTAAAGATAATTCAATGTTACAAGTATTAATTGGTATCAAAGATGTTAATGATAATCCACCTAAATTTATTAAAAAGATTTTTTCCGGTGGAATAACCACCGATACTGATTATGGAACAATATTTATGTCAGTCAAAGCAATTGATCCGGATGTTGGTGCACATAGTCACGTTAGCTATTACATTGTTTCCGATGTACGAAAATCATTTTACGAAGGACTTGAAAATGTTCCATTAAAACCATTTGAAATCAATCAACGAACTGGTGAAATAAGTCTGAAATTTGATCCACAAAAAGGAATGAAAGGTTATTTTGAATTTGAAGTAAAAGCCAATGACACGGATGGCCTGTACGACATTGCCAAAGTTTTTGTATGTATCATTATTTTGGAATTGCTTGTCTGACCTTTGAATCTAATATCCATTTTTATCATAGATTTATTTACTTCGAGGTGATCAACGCGTTAAATTTATACTTCGATTGACACCACAAGAATTGAGAGAAAAATTGGATAAGTTTCAAGAGTAAGTTAACTTAGTAAGATTGTATTCAAGAAACTATATTTCTTATGTTTTTTTAGTGTTTTGGCTAATATTACTGGTGCATTAGTGAATGTGGATAGTTATCGTTTTCATGAGGCCGACGATGGAACTGTTGATCAGAAAAAGTAATTAATATTATTTATTTTATCTACGTGATTTGAAAATTAAAATGATTTATTCTTTATAAAATTTAGGACTGATCTGTATTTACATTTCGTCAATCGAGATGATAATAGCATAATGGATGTAGACAATGTTCTTATGTTGATTGATAAAAATATTGACTATTTAGATGATCTATACAAAGAATTCAACGTATTAATTAGCGAACCAACTTCAATGGCCGAACCATTCATGGAATGGGAAGATCAGTTAAAAGCTGGTCTTGCTGGTACTTCTGCATTTTTATTCTTATTACTTATTCTGGTCATTTCTTTATGTTTAAATCAAAAAAGCCGGTATGTAAAATATTTCTGTTTGATGTGACAAAACATTGATTTTAATTCATCATTTTAATACAGATATGAACGTCAATTAAAAGCAGCCACTGTTCCAATATTTGGCCATGAACCACAATTAACACGAAGTAATGTTCCAAACACTAATCAACATGCAACCGAAGGTTCGAATCCGATGTGGATGACAGGTTATGATAATCAATGGTATAAAGATGAAGAACGTTTAAGGTAAAAAAGCAAGAAAGAAACTTCGATGAAAATTATTTCTAACTTGTCAATTTTTTTTAAAATTATAGTAGCGAATCAAGTAGCAGTAGTAGTAGCAGTAATTCATTGGATGAAAACGCATTGACCAATGTAGCTATTGAAGATGAACATTTAAATTTTTCTTCATTGGATACATTAGATCAAGGTGATGTTACACATGAACATATTGCGGTTCGCAGTGAATCATCGGGTAATAGTTCTTCTTCAACGACAAATGATCGATCGGTGTTATGTCGAATCAGTAATACATTATCGAAAGCTACACCAGGTGTTGTTTCAAATAATCGTACGACCACCGTAACGGGAAATTTCGGTACCGTAGGTCGTCGTCATCAAGTGATAACCACACAAATAGCTCCTGCCAATCCACCAGCCCCACCGAAAAAACCTATGGCACCAAAACCACCAGCCCCACCAAATATTGTAGTCATCAGTGCTACGGCAGCGAATAAAAATGATCCACGAAATAGTCATTATGTCCCATCATCAAATGTTTCGACAGTTAATGGGAAATCACCTTGTATTAATAATATTTATATAGAAACATTTTCAAATCATCATAAAAATAGTAATGGTAATGCAATACCAGTTAATAATGGTAACAAAAATATATCATCTACACACGGCCATTATCATCATTATCATCATCATCATCCACAAACATCAACCACACAGCCACATCATTACTTTGGAATGACCAAAGGTCAAGATGTTCCTAACGGTCATGCATATTTACCTGACTCTCAATTGATGAATCTGGAGACAACTGAACTATGATAAATCCATATTTCTTATCAGATTTTTTTTCTCTCCCGGATCAGATTGAGATTTGTTTGAAAATTGGACAATATTTTGTCATCATTTGTGCCATTTTTTTTTCTTCACTAAAATCACATTTCATTTCTTCGTATTTAATCACATCATCAAAATTCGTATTTTTTTAGAAATTGATATTTTTTTCTTAAATGTAAATAGTTTTCTCTTTTTTTATCCATTTGATGACATCTTTCTACACATCTAACACAGTTATCATGAAAATTGTACAGAACGAAAAAACAACAACATTTTGTTATCCATTGTTATTGTTGAATTAAAGTGAATAAATTTGTATAAATTTTTTTTTTGTTTAAATAAAGTGGACAAAATTCAAAAAAAAATTTACTTCAAAATTGCTTGAAATAGAGACAAATTGGAAATTTATTTCAAACTTTTATTTAGTCATTTGGGTCGATTTAAATTCCATTCATGTATACAGATAATTTCAATGAAATTCACCTCAATTTTCTGGTGCAATATAATCTGACCATCATTTTTTTTTTAAAAAAGGATAATGATAGTATCAACATCACCAAGAAAATAAATTAAGAAAAATTACTTCTTTTCTTTTTTTTTAAAAAAAAGTTGTCAGGATTGATGATGATCTAAACATAGACAGTGAAATTTTTCTTTTTATTGTGGAAAATGCCATAGATAGAATGAAATGGAAGACAAGTAAATAAAAAGCGAAAACAAATATAAAGATAGGTCACGAAATTAAATGATTATTATTATCATAGTTATTATCATCATCATTATCATGGAACTGTATGGTTAAAAAACTTGAATAAAAATTTCTATTTCGTTTTGGTTTTTGTTTTTCATAGTAATTTTCCAAAGAGATTTTTCTCGAAATTTTGACATTCATTCAATAATGTATTTTATGTTTGAATAATAATAGAAATGAAACCTGTTACATCATTGATCGAATCCATAGAACGTTATTATAAAATTATTATTAAAACGGATATGAAAAAGTCATCTGAAGAGAAAAATCATAAAACCAATCATGAATCTAATCATTATTGATCGATTGTTTATGATTATCAGAAAAAAAATTACATTCGATAATTATTGATATTGACCACAAAAAAATATAATAATAATAATTTTCAGTTATAAAATTTATGTACTCTTTCATTGATTTGATACTAATAATAAACATTTTACCAATTAAAGGATTTTATCAAGTGTAAAACAAAATTTGGCCATCAAAAAAATACACATATACATCATGACCATCATCATCATCATCAGAAGCGTTCGTGTCAAGTTGTCAGAAGAAGAGGAGAATTTAGAAAAAAAAAGATTAAAAAAAACATTCAACATTTTTTCCATATAATTCCACGGTCTTAGTCATATTATTTATTAGAAAATTTTTCTTTGAGATTTTTATTTTCGGGTCATACTTGTTGTTGTTCAAGATTTGTTTGTTTCCAAATAATCATAATGATTATGATCGGGTCATATGTATGATGAAAAACAATGATGATGGATGAAAACCGAATAAAAACGATAAATTTCTTCAATTTCTTCAATCAAACAATGTACCACATTGTACCTCATCAGTGTAATGTTTGAAGGCAAACATAATGATAATTGATGAATTATTCTTCTTTTTTCGTTCATATAAATCGGTAATGCACGGTAAATGTCGAATGTCGAATTAAGAAAAAGTGAATGAAAGATATGAGTGAGAAAACTAAAAAAAAAATTGATGAATACCGGCACGATTTTTTTTTGTTTGTTTCGCTTGTATGATACATTTGAAGAATGTTGATGAACATTATCGAATAATTTTTTTGGATAGAGAAGAAAAATGTTATCGAGGCGAGAAAATTGCACAAATCAAAAAAAAGGTAAAAATTAAATGAAAACCAAAAATCCATCGGATTAAAGAAATCGGGTAAAGAGCCTAATTTATAATTCACTCTTACTTGTTGTTGTTGTTGTTGGTGGTGTTATCATTCTCACCAATACCGCCATTAATTTATCGTTTGTTTTTTTTATCCATTGATTCTCACTTTTTTTCTGACCACAAAAAAATTATTGAATGAAAATGATGAAGAAAAATGGTGTTTTTTTTTGTAGGGAATAACCATTCATTAACTAAAACGAAAACGAAAACGAAAACAACAACGACGACGATAAGATCATCTTCATTCATCTTTGTTAAAAAAAACATAATGATCGTGTGAATTGTTCCAATTGGAACAAACAAACAAACAAACAACAACAATACTTTTCCGGTATAGATCAAGTGTTATTTGTGAAATTATTTAATTGTTCCACAAACAAAATTGTTGCAAAAAAAAACTTATTCAATTCGAATGTTTTTGATTTTCTTTCTTATTTCCACCTACACAAAACATCATTATCAATAGCAAACAAAGGTATGGTATATAATGACATAACAATCCCAACATATATCGATATTATTTGAAACAATTTTTTTTTCACAAACATCATCAGACAGACAGATTGATTACAATTACATTTTTTTATATTAATTTTATATTGAAAAATCCAAAAATGGATGCCAATCGGTTGGCCATTTTTTTTTGATAAAGATTTATAAATCAAAGAAAAAAAATCTTTTATTCATTCATCACCATTTCATTTATGTCTTTCATTCATTTTTTTCAATTGAATGACATGTATGAGAAACATCGTTGACATTGATACCACCATTGAATTTTGTTTTTTTTTTGTTGTTGATACGATGACCATTTGTGGTCAATCATCAATCACCACCACCACCACCACCACCGGAATGAGGTTGATTTTGATTTGAAATCCAACGAAAACAAATTAGGTCATCCATATTTTTGATGTTGTTGTTGTTGTTGTTCAAAATAGATAAAACATTTTCATTTAAATTTACAGAAGTGACAGTCGATTTTTTTTTCTATAATACTTTCTGATTATCGAAAAGCAAAAAAAAACATCAAAAAAATCTTAGATTAAATGATAACAATTCAATTCGGAGAATTAACGGGGAAAAAAATACCTGTTGATGAAATAGATAAAATGTTGTTGCGAAAAGTATTTTGCGAAAAAATTTGTTTATCAGCTTACCCAAAAACATCGATGATGAATGTTTTAATCAAACTAATCGAAACAAATTATCATATCATCGATTAAATCGTTCGAATAGATCACGAATTTATTGATGGTGATTATGATTTATATTTTTCGTTGGTGATCGACCAAAAATTCCTTCAACATGATTCGATGATGATCTTTCGCTTTTTCCAATCGAATCAAATGTAATTGCAAAAAAAAATTGTTTATCATTTAATTAAATAATAATAAATGATTGTAATTGTCAGTTTATTTTTAGAAATTATAGAGAAATAGAAAAATCTGTCCGGAATGTAATCACAGGACATTCACACACACACACACCCGAGCTTTTTTGTTGTCGTTATTAAAGTAAAATGATCAATCAAAATTTGAAGAAGAAGAAGAAAAAAATGAAAGAAAGATTGATAATCAACCAATTCAAATCAATTTTTTTTCTTTTTTTCTTTGTTTGTTTGATTGTTCAACAAAATTGGTTCAAGAATATCTATAAATTTTCCATTGAATCCACCTTTCCACCACCAAGAAAAATCCCTAGGACAATGGATCACTCATTCATTGTTTTGTTTTTCATTTCATTTCCTATTTTTTTTTGAAACAAAATCTTTTTCAATTAATCTTTCATTTTTTTTTGTTTTGTTTTTTTCTTCTTTCAATTTAAAATAATAACCCGATCAACCTGCAGCAAAGTAGTATACAGTAGCTGTCCGAATATATTTATCATAATAAAATTAAAAGATTTTCCTGTAAAAAAACAACAAACAAAATGACCATCGATCATCGATACCATAAAAGCTGTAGAAATTGTTGTCAAGATAAGAAATATAATGATACAACAAACAATGACCAACATCAACAACAACAACAACAAGTTAAAATTAATCTAATAAAAGAAAATTGTTTTCAACTAAATAATGATGATCAACAAAAATCGTATTGTGAAAATTTATGTTTGAGAAATTCTCATACAACATCAATCAATGATTATTTATTGTCTTTGAATGATGAAGACGATGATAATAACATCATTGGCCAAAGTGATGATAATAGATACAATGTAGGTGGTCATTTTGGTCGTCGTTTTCATCGTCATCATCATCATCAACTACAACGTTTCAACAATACAATTGGTATATCAACTAACAGTTTATCACGAAAACCACGTGTAATCGGACGACGAGAATATCGACGAAGACTTAAATTTGGAATGCCAATAACAAATCAAAAAACGATTAAGCAAGCAACTAATATAACTTCAGGATATTTGCGTATTTTATCATCATCATCATCATCAAATAATGATAATATCAACGTTGAAAAAAGTGTGGATAGTAAATCGATACCATCAAATCGTTGTCGACAAAAACGTCTTCAATGTCAACGATTGCGATTGAAAATTCCAGATCGACTTAAAAATCTTCAAAAATTAGAGCCATCATTTAATCCTTCAGCAACGACAACAAAAGGTATGTCAGAAAATTTTGATTGTCATATGAGACTAAAAGACAAAACGAGAGCAAAACAATCCAAATTGTTTAACCATTCTATTAATAACCGGCTTTTTTCATCATCATCATCATCATCATTGTTTAAATGAAAATATTTTTCCGGTCATTTTGTTTTGGAACAGTTTTTTTTTGTTGTTTCAATTTCTTTCATCATCATTGTCCACAATCAATATCCAAAAAAAAAACAAAAAAATCTTTAATCTGGGTTTATTGTTTTTTTGGTTCGATTGTATCGTTATCATTGTTTTTGGTTGTCCTAGCATCGTTTCATCATTATTATTATTATGATGATGCTTAAAAACAATAGCAAAAAAATTTTTTTTTTTGGGTAATATAATTAGATCTATGATGATTATCCATGATGATAGTAAATAATATCCGTTCATAATGATGGTATTATATCGATATTTTAAAGATAATAGATGTATTGAATGAAATCAGCTAGTTAGTTAGGAGGCAAATAGAA